CAACCAGAGGAGTCGCCCCCTGATGGACACTAGAGAGAATGCAGCTTCAACACGTGAAGCTTTGACTTCACTTTTCAGAACCGGAGGTTGCAACATGATTAAAAATAAACCCTTGCTGTGCAGAAAGCCCTGAAGACAAACTTTTCTCGTGTGCATTAAAAATTGTGGTCGCTATCGCTTTAAAAACAGTTGGTTTGTGCAGGAAGTCCCACGTCATGCTCTGACCAATCAGTGATCTGCAGTGTTTGAACTCCACCTTCTAGTATCGGCTCAGCTCGCTTGAACCTTCGATCAATGTTGATAGAACGTTCTTTTGGTACCACAACTTTTGCAAACGGGGAACCAAAGAAGATCATCAGAGACACGTGATTCTTTTGTTTTTGTCTGACTTGTCCCAGTAAACTTGTTGTTGTTCTCCTGTAGAACCGTGAGCCGATGATGCCGTCTCCTCAGTTCATCAAATCCTACTTCAGCTCGTTCACCGATGACATCATCTCACAGCCGCTGCAGAAGGGGGAGAAGAAGGACGAAGACAAGGACAAAGAGGGCGAGGCGGCCGAAGTCACTGAGAGGTCACACATGGGTTTTATTAAAGCTGGGGTTGGTGGTCCTGAGAATCAAGCGAGACTACGCCAGATTTAACAAAGTATCCAAACTAAAAAACAGTTCAGTGTTTCCAACTCTGCTCCAGTGAAAGTATCCAACATCATTAGCTACAGAAGTCTCTATATGTAGAGAGAAGTGACAGGTTGCCGGACAGGTAGGTAGGTAGGTTGACAGGCAGACGTTTAGATAGACAGGTAGGCAGACGGTTGGATAGGCAGACAGGTACACAGACAGACAGACAGGGAGACAGACAGGTAGACGGACAGACGTCCATTCATTACATTGGGGCTGATTGAAATGATTGGACAGCTTATTACAGTCCTGCGGCCACAGATACCAGATTTGATTCATTGATTGCCGTCAGGATGTGATGAGAATTCAAACAAAAATATCAAAGAGGATCATCAACGCTGTCTTTTAAGGTTTCATGTTCAAAAGAGTTCAAAGCTTTTTGAATCTTACCGGCTCCTTCTCCACGTCAAAGACCGCTTTGAGCCGTGTTTCCAAAATGACGGACAAAACTTGATTTAATCGTATAAATCAAGAAGTTGGAATCAAAGTGGTGGTTATAACATGACTCTATAGGATTGTTGCATATTATGGGACATACATGTTTCTGCCTTAAAGAACACTGGTTTTTACAACCTACGAAAAAACCCACCTCACGACTCACAGCTGGTAGATGAACACTTCCCCCCGATCTGTTCTTTCATCTCGTTAGCTCCGGCTACCTGAAGGCTAAGCAGTACATGGAGGAGGAGAACTACGACAAAATCATCAGTGAATGCACCAAGGAGATCGATTCAGGGGGCCGATACACTGCAGAGGCCCTGCTGCTGAGGGCCACGTTCTACCTGCTGATTGGAAACGCTACTGCTGCTCAACCCGACCTGGACCGGGTGATCAACATGCAGGACGCCAATGTGAAGGTAAGGACCGTTGACTTGATCAGGACAGTTTGAGTACCAGGATAGTGGACTAGTAGGACTTTAATGGACTGCAAACTTATAGCTCGTTGCTAACTTCTAGTAGCCTATGTGAAGGTTCAGACATATCTGTAGGTGATCTTTGTTGACCCGTCCAACTGGCGATCGACCCGTCCGTCCAGAATCAACACTGAAAACTTGGACCTGACAGGTTGTCGCTCTGTTCTTTGCTCTCGTGTTTTACAGCTACGAGCCAACGCTCTGATCAAGCGGGGGAGCATGTACATGCAGCAGCAGCAGCCTATGCTCTCCACACAAGACTTCAACATGGCAGCCAAGATTGACACAAGCAACCCCGACGTCTATCACCACAGGGGCCAGGTAGGCTCATCTGTTTACCTGAATGGCTGTCAGTTGACGATTGCTAAGTTAACAGCAACGTGTAAGCTGTTGCCTGAGTCTTCGTTTAAAACGTCTTGGTATATTATGCTATCGTTCTCTCTCTAAAGTCAATCTGTCCTCACAGCTGAAAATCCTGCTGGACCAGGTGGACGAAGCCGTGGGAGACTTTGACGAGTGCATCCTGCTGAGGCCCGACTCTGCTCTCGCTCAGGCTCAGAAATGTTTCGCTCTGGTTAGTACATCAGCTGAAGATCACTTGAGAAGCGAGCGTTCTGCTGCCTCTAGCGTATTAATGGCTGCTACAACTCTGTTTCTTGTTCTTGTGTTCTTCAGTACAGACAAGCGTATACTGGAAACAACCCGTCTCAAGTGCAGACGGCCATGGACGGCTTCGAGGCCGTCATCAGAAGGTTCCCCAAGTGTGCAGAGGGCTACGCTCTTTATGCTCAGGTGCAGAATACAAATCCTACATCAGTGGGTGCTTTGGCCCATTTTACAGTAGAGTTGTTGTGTTCGACGCGACTCTTTGTGTGTCTTTCAGGCTTTGACTGATCAGCAGCAGTTTGGAAAAGCAGACGAGATGTACGACAAGTGCATTGAACTGGAACCAGACAACGCTACCACATACGTCCACAAGGGGTAGGCCGTGTTTCTGTGTTTAGTAGACGTGCGACATTTCACAAAGCTCACAGTTCAGGTCGTATCACGGTTTTCAGTCACGGATCATATATGACTTTTAGAGACGCTCCGATCACATGTTTTTGATGTCATAACTGATCACAATGAGCCGTCAAATGTCATCCAAACTATCCTCATTTCAACCGCTCTGAAATCAAACCATCACAAATTCTAAATGTTATCCTTTTACCTTGTTATAGCCATCTTTAGTGGTTATTTTCATAAAAACACACACTTCAAATAAGGAAAAAACAGATTGTATTATTATTGATAAATAAATCTCTTCATTATTATTTTAATGCTGTATAATAATGTTCTTAGAGCTCGTGTTAGAAGTTAAACATCTCGTAATTCATCTCTAATATCTATTTTATATTCATGTGAAAACATCTCCTTCAAACTACTGGATTTATTCAAGTTCATCACTAAAACTACATTTTACAGATGACATGTGAACACATCATGATAACGTTATAATGTACCTTCAGCGAGTACTCATGTTCACTGAGCAGAGCCTGAAGGCATCATGATGTACCTTCAGCCAGTACTTGAAGTGAACCTCTGTTGGTTAGCCGTTAGCGGTGCTGCTAACGTTACTAGCTCTCCTC